CTGGCGCCCGCCTCAGAAGACGCGCTCAAATTCCGTCTGGTTGGTAGTAGCTGGATTTCGGCTCTGGTTGGTGGACTGCTGAGTGATCTGGCTGCCCTTCCGCCGTGGTGGTGCCAGGTACTCAAACATAGACGTCAGGTGGGTCGACAGCATGCCCTTGAGGTCCGAGGGCATGGGGTCTGACCAGAAGAAGTCGTGGTTGAGCGCGTCGTCACTGTCAATCCGCTGTGCGGGGTCGAGCACCAGCAGCTTGTCGATGAGGTCCAGAGCATAGGGGTCACGGACGTAGGCCTTCAGCCGGTCCTTCACCTTCCGCTTCTGGCCCTTGACCAGTTCCAGCTTTTCAAAGAGCTCATACTTGTCCACATTCGGCCACACCTGAGAGGTGCCGAGGAGAAAATAGGGTTGGAGGGGAAGAATGCTCATCTAGGCCGCCGGGCTTTGGATTTGCTAAATCCACCTCTCCTTCACGCTCCCTGACCCCCCTACCCCAAAGAACCAGATGTCTTCAAGATGAAAGCAGCGGTCAATCCAGATGTGGCAGATTCCTAGTGTCTGGGCATTTTTTACAAGTCACCTGGGATAAATGTGCCACCCCCTGCTCAAGGACATTCCTGCTCACCAAGAAAGCTTTAAATTGCCCCCAAATCTCAAGTGTTATAAGGGTTGGTCCCGAGCTGGTGGTTCTATTGGAAGGTGGTGGAAACTTCAGGGAGGCAGAAGCCAAATGGGAAAAGGTATCCTAGGAGGCATTTTGAATATCGTTTGGTGGTGAGCCAGTGTGCCACCCCACTGGCCCCTGCTCTTCTGCGTCCTCACTGCCATGACCACACCTCTGCTCGCCTGTGAACTCTGCCAGGACATTTAGCAGCATCTTAGCACCAAAGCAAAGGCTAAGCAAGCATGGACTGAAGCTTCTGAACAAAAGCAAATCTTTCCGCTTTTGTTCCCAGGCACTGACACAGCAACAGAAAGCTAATACAACGCCCATAACCAACAGGCTCAGCAGTGAGACAGCGTCCATAAGGCCCTGAACGGCAGGCCACATCCTCCATCGACCAGCCTCTTCTCCATGAAGGATTGACTTCACTCTTGACTACTGGCCAGAGGGACCTGATCTCTGCACCCCTAAGACCATCATTAAGCTGGCTACGTACCTCCGGGGTGATGGAGCCACAGAGCTGGCTGATGAGGGCAAGCTGGTGCTGCTCCGTGTTGCCCTGCATGATAGGGCTGCGAGTCCACATCTCTGCCATGATGCACCCAGCACCCCACAGGTCAATGGGCGGGCCGTAGTCCCGCTCTCCTGAGAAGAAGAGTGTACCAGGTGGGCCCTTTAAGCCCCAGGGCCTCCTGAGACTCCATGTCCCAGGGCTGATGACTCAAGAGGCCCTGGCAATGGAGGCTGCGGCCAGGTAGGTACCCGGCCCCTGCCACCCTCTGCCCGCTCGGGAGTCCTCACCGAGCAACAGCTCCGGGGGCCGGTACCACAATGTCACCACTCGGTTGGTATAGCGGTTGGGCTGGCTGTTCTTAGCTAGGCTGAATGCACGGGCCAGCCCAAAATCTGCCAGCTTCAGGACCCCATCCCGGGTGATGAGCACATTGGCAGCCTTCATATCCCTGTGCAGGATCTTCAGGGAGACACGAGAGCTCAGTCAGGTTTCACAGGGTCCTTTAGTCCCAGCCACACAGCCGTAAAGGACAGGGGCACCCCCAGTACCTCCAGCCCCCACCTTGTTCCTGTGGATGTAGTAGAGTCCATTCAACAGCATCTGCATCACCCTCTTGATCTCCGACAGTGTGAACTTGACTAAGACGTTGCTCAGCAGCCCAGCAAGGTCATGCTCACAGAAGTCAAACACCAGATAGATACTGCCCTTGCAACGGTTATAGGGGGAAGCTGATACAGAATGAGTGGGGAGAAAAATGTCAAAGACCATCACCCACTTCACTCTTCCAATCAACTCCCAACCCTCCAGCCCACAGCCACCCATGAGAGGTCACGAAAGCACCAACTCCAGTGAAAAGAAGATCAGAGGAACCTGTGTGGTAAATCTGAGCCAGGAGGAGGCAATTTAAGCCCATCTACCTCAGGGGTGGAAACAAAGCCTTACTTGGTAAACCTCATTAGCTCACAAGATCCAAGCAACACACCTTTGGTTCGACAAATCTCAATTAGGTTGACCACATTCTCATGTTTTAGGAGCTGTAGAATCTTGATTTCCCGCAAGGCTGTGATGGGGAACTAGGGAGAAAGAGGAAGCAGTCAAAACCGAGTGTGCAATAGACCAAGGAACGGGCCAAGGGTGAGGTCTACACTAAGGAACAGAGGTTGAAAGGGAGGTGAAGAGTATGGTTTCTGTCTGTAATCCAATCTCATTACCCAGGAGTCACAGACCGCAGAACTGCCCCAAGTTCAAGACCGGCTGGGTTAAGATCCTGCTTCAAGAGGTAGGGAGAGAAAAGTTGTATACACAGATCTGCAGTCAGCCTTTGCAAAGCATAAGTACAATAATATGAACATCTCAAAGAGCTGCTGGATTTTACCATCTAAATCAGGCTGGCTTTGAACTTGTTTATGAACATCCTTATCCTTCAGCCCAAGTGCTGGGGTTATAATCATAAACTTCTACGCTGAGCTAGGAATTTATTTCAGAGAACCCAAACAGGGATAAAGTCTCAATCACCAACACTAGTGGGTAAAGATCAAGAAACTTCCTGGAACTAGAGATAGCTGAATGGTTAAGAACACTGGCTATGACCAGGCCTAATGACCCATGCCTTTAATCTCAGCAGATGCAGTTGGATCTCTGTGAGTTCAAGGCCAGTTTGGTCCACACAGTGAGTTCAAGGACAGCCGGGGCTATTCAGAGAGATCCTGCATCAAACAAACACAGCTTATATATAAAGACCCCGTTTCAAAAACAAAGAAACAGACAGACAAAAAACACTGGCTAGAGGACCAAGGTTCAATTCTCAGCACCCACATGGTGGCTCACAACTTTTTAACTCAAGTCCCAAAGGCTCCAACACAGCTTTCTGGCCTCCTCAGGCATGAGGTAAGCATGTGGTACAGAGATATCCATGAAAACAAAACACTCATGCACATAAAATAAAGTAAAAAAGTTTTTTCTTTACCAAGAAAGTGGTTGGGAAGGGGCAGCACACTTTCAAAACATAGCCTTGAACTTAATCGCCTTTTAAAAGGCCTGTGCACCCATTTTAAGGCCTCTCTTCACACAAAACAAAAATTAAACGTTAAGCTAAAAGTGTTTAAAAAGGCGTGACTTGCCGGGCAATGGTGGCCCACGCCTTTAATCCCAGCACTCGGGAGGCAGAGCCAGGCGGATCTCTGAGTTCGAGGCCAGCCTAGACTACAGAGTGAGTTCCTGGAAAAGCGCAAAACTACACAGAAAACCAAACCAAACCAAAAGGCGTGACTTCTGGAGTCAACATGCACTGCATGCAAAGTACAGGCTCCCTCCCTTGGCCCCCGCCAAACTTTGCCACTTAACACTCAAAGTGGAAAGCCAAATTCCTTGTTCCATGGAAAATCGCAAAATAGTAGGTATAAATAGAATCTCAGCACAAAACCCTTTGAAGCAGGAGTGTGAAAGCCGACACAGTCTGGAAGGCCCGCCCAGTGGCTCATACTCACCCCCTCCTTCTCATTCTCCATCAACACTTTCTTCAGAGCCACCTTCTGGCCCGTCTGACGGTGCTTGGCTTTGAACACTTCCCTGCAGGCCCAGAAGAAGACCCCAGAGAATCCATCAGGCGTTTCCGCGGGGCTCGCCCCTCCCCCACGCGGAGAGGGGCAGCGGGAGACCAGACACAAGGCGGGGCGCGGCCTGGAGCTCCCGGACGCCGCTACTCTGCACCCCGTGTGCCCCGTCTCCCTCCCAGCCTCTGCGCTCGCCCTAGGCCCCTGCTCCGTCCCCGGGAGTGGCTCCCGCAGAGTCCGATCACATTCGGAGCACCTCTCGGGAACCCGGGAACCCCACCCCACCCCCATGCCGGGCCTCAGGCTCCTCCCCGCTAGCCAGCTCGGGTAGGCCGGGACCGTCTGCGGCGCGGCCTAGCGGGGCCAGGCAAAGGCCGGGGAAACAAAAGCTCCCGGACCACCTCGGTCCGGGCCCCGGACACCCCGACGTCCGTCCTGGAAAGTACAGGTCCTGGGCTCCCCGCCCCACGCGACCTAATCTTACCCGAAGGTGCCTTGGCCGATCTTGGCAAGTTTCTCGTATTTGGTGACCTCATCGCAAAACGGGCATTCCACTGAGTCGTACTGCTTGGCCATGGCCGCCTCCAGCGCGCCGCCGCCGCCCCCAGCCGCAGCTCCCGCCGCTCCCGGTCCCGCCACACTCCAGGCCCCTCCGCGGCCGCGCCACTTCCGCCTCCAAGGCCACTTCCGGCCTCGAGGTGCCGATCCCGCCTCTTCCGGTCTCCGCCCGCCGCCAGGCCCCCTGGGACTTGTAGTTCCCGAGAGGCCAGGGGGAGCCGGAGCTGCAGAGGAGCCTCCGCCGCCGCCACTACCCCCGCCTCCGCCGCCGCCGCCAGTGCTGTTGGCGGCTCCGATCGGGGGCGCAGGGAGCCGTGGCGCTGGGGCTGGGGCTCGCGGCGGTGCGTCCCGCTGCATTGGCCCGGGCCGCGCTGCTGCCGAAGCTGCTGCCGCTCTGGCTCCCGATCCGGGGCCAGCCGCAGTGCCCTGCTCCTCCTCCTCCGACGGCGCCGCCTCCGCCGGGCTGCGCGGGGCGGCGGGTGGGGGGAGGAAGGCCTGGGGAGGGGTGAAGGCGGGGGCTCCCTGGCCAAGCGCGGCCCGGGGCAGCCGGGCAAGGGGGCGAGACGGGAAGAGCCGATGAGGAGGCGGCCCGAAAGCCCGGGACGGGGCGCGTTATAAAGGGGGAGGTGCCCGTCCTGGCCTCCCCTCCCCCTCTGCCCGCCCCCTCCCTCCTCCTCCCACCCTCCGCGGCCGCACCTGCCGCCGCCGCCTCCCGCCCACCCGCTCCCAGTCCAGCGTCCGCCGTCGGCGCGTCACGGCCAGCAGCCCCTCCTCTGCCTTTGGAGGTGGGGCCCTGCACTAGACACCTGCCTGCGGCGCCCTGCCGCGTGCCTCAGTTTACCCCACCCCCTCCAATGCCAGCTGCCACCGAATGCCCCTTCTTCCGGGGCTGAGAATGTGCTCCGGGTGAGGCGAAGGCGGGAAGTGCCGAGGGAGCGGCCTGAGCCCCTAGGAAGAGAGAACTGCCCCCGCTGCCACCTCCGTCGTCTCAGCCACCCGCCGTTGACATGGCAACTGGCGGCCGCCAGGGGGCGCGGCGACACTGGAGGCGGAGAGCGAGCAACGCTCAGGCCTAAACCCTGGATCTTGTGTTATCAGGGAGGCAGGGATGAGACCCGAGATCCGCCTTCTCCGAGCTGCTCCAGAGCTGGTCTGTCCTGGGTCAGTCATCGCAAAAATAGTTAACATTGACGCAGCACTCCTGTGTGCTTTAGGAATGCTGGGCGTTCCGGTTGAATCCTGAACCAATCCTGTGACCAAGGTTCACTAACCCATTTTACAGAAGAAATTGAAACGCAACTCAGATCCGAGGTTGTCTGCTCAAGGTCGCACCGTGGCAAGGCTGGCTTTAGCTATGAAGAGGTTTCTCATGCTTCATTTTTACAGTGAGTTTGAAGCCCGGTGGCCTTATGTAGGCGATACCCACTGCTCACCCTAAGACCCTTCCAGTCATACCCTCCTCCACCATCATCTTCCTGTTCCCAGGAGCCTCCAGATGCAAGCCAGCGAAGCCGTGTTTTCTACCTCCCCAGTCTGCCCCCTTCTTTCCATCAGCTCCTCTCCCAAAGATGGACCCTGAGTCCTGCTTCCCCCAGCCTGGCTTCTCCACCTGTCCCACTCCAACCCGTTCCAGATCATTCTGAAGTCTGCTATGTCTCCTTCTACAGTCTTGAAATTCTGAGTGTGAAACTGAGGATCCTTCCAGCCTTTACCTCCTGGGCTGTGGTCCTGAAAGCTGCCTGATGTTTACCAGTTTCCCAAGCCCGATCCCTCCCCAGGGTCGGCTGCAGGGAGCCTTCCTGTTTGCGTTTGTTTGATTGAGACCAGGGTCATAGCCGCGGCGTGGTGGCGCACGCCTTTAATCCCAGCACTCGAGAGGCAGAGGCAGGACGGATCTCTGTGAGTTCAAGGCCAGCCTGGGCTACAGAGTGAGATCCAGGAAAGGCGCAAAGCTACACAGAGAAACCCTGTCTCGAAAAACAAAACAAAAGAGACCAGGGTCACGTTATACAGTCCTGGCTGGCCTGGTGCACTGCTTTCCAGTTTTATCCCGCATCGTCTAGGCTTGAAGCATCTTGGAAAGAGGAATGGTTTTGGTGACCCTGGTGTCCAGGGGTACCTGCTGAGACGGGTCCTGCCAAGGAGGCCTTTCAAGGCACTCCACAGGGCCAGCCGGGCTTCCCAAAATCAAGCTGCATGTCAGGGATGCTCTGGAGCCACCTTCATGGATCCACTGCTTATCTGAAGTAGGAAGCAGGGAGGGGAAGAAGGGACAAGGGGAGTCGTTTCAGTAATTACAACTATAGAACGAAGTGGCTGGCCCTCGACAGCCCTGTGTGGGCCTTGTCTCTGTTGTCGTCTTTTGCAGAGGGCATTACTCTTACCTCCACTGTGCAAAATGAGGACCTTGACGCGCAGAGGTGAGATTGTTGGACCGTGGTCACACAGCTAGCCAGTGGCCACACTGGTTTTGAAACAGGTAAGTTTGGAATAAACTCCAGTTACTTATGTCAAGGTCCCTCCCACCCTGGGTTCAGAGTGAACCCAGGGCAAAACTCGGTACAGTGTCACCTGCCTTGGTGATCATGGGAGATGTGGTAGGTAACAGTGCATCGATGGGTGGGGGCTGTCATGGGCTTTGTGTGGATGTTACTATCAGATTTGTAGGCTATAGGCTGGTGCCTGTTTCTCATGAGCCCTCTAAGTCACATCCTGTGGGCAGAGAGTGGCTTTAGCAGAGTTTCCTGTGATGTTGTCACCTTTACCCACGACAAGAGCCCTGACATCTTCCAGTCACTTCCCCTCAGAAGCGAGGGCCCTCAGCCCTCCACAGGAGAAGCAAGAATGGCCAGTGGCTTTGGAAGGCTGCCCCAGTCTGGAGCCTCAGTCCTTCACAGCTGGAAAATCCAGGAGGGCAGTGGAGAGAAATTAGCCATTTTGAATCCGCTTGGCTTCTGCTTTGTTGGCTTCGAATATTGCCTGCTTTCTGTGGATTGCCAAAACCACCAAAGCCCAGCACGTGACCCAACCTCAGTAACAGCCTGCTGACTGACTGGCTGATGACACCCCAGGAGAGTCTCTTCTATGGCCATTTAACAGCTAAGGAAGCCAGGCCTGGTGGACTGGAATCCCAGCTACTAAAGAAATTGAAACAGGAAGGTTGAAAGTTCAGGGCTTGTCTGGGCTAAAGAGCAAGTTCAAGGCCAGTTTAGAATCTCAGTGAGACTTTGTCTAAAAAAATGAAAAAAACAAAGCCAGGTATAGTGACACACACCCTTAATCCCAGCACTCGGGAGGCAGAGGCAGGTGGATCTCTGAGTTCGAGGCCAGCCTGGTCTACAGAGTGAGTTCCAGGGTAGCCAGGGATACACAGAGAAACCCTGTCTCAAAAAATAAAAAGTAAACCAGGTGGTGGCAGCACATACTTTTAATCCCAGAATTTGGGAGGTAGAAGCAGGTGGATCTTTGTGAGTTTGAGGCCAGTGTGGCCTACAAAGCAAGTTCCAAGACAGTTGGGACTATTACACAGACAAACTCTGTCACAAAAAAAAAACAATAAATAAATAATAAATTTTTTAAAAGAAAGCCTGTAGTAAAGTGGTTTTCTAGGCTGGCCTTGAACTCACAAAGCTCCACCTGCCTCTGCCTCCAGAGTGCTGGGATTGAAGGCGTTCACCCCTAGCTGAACTCTAGCCTTTGACTTTACCAGGAACAGCAGTTTAAATAAGAATGGCCTCCACATATTTGAATGCTTAACCATCGAGAGTGGAACTGTTGAAAGGATTAGAAGGACTAGGATGTGTGGCCTTTAATGGAGTAGGCATGGTCTTGTTAGAGGAAGTGTGTTACTGGGGGTGGCCTTTGAGGTTTCAAAAGTCCAAGCCAGGCCCTGTCTCTTTCTGCCTGCTGTCTACAGAACGTAGCTCTCGGCTACTGCTCTACCGCCGTGCATGGTGCCTCGGCTCTGCCGTGGTTCTGCCGCGGCTCTGCCGGGCTCCCGCCATGATGGTAACAGACGAAGCCTCTGGAAGTGTAAGCCAGCCCATCGTCAAAAGCTTTCTTTCCTAAGAGTTGCTTTGGCCATGGCATCTCTCACAGCAACAGAACACTGTCTAAAATACCCGCACCGGTTTCCTCTGCCAAGCTTGGATGTGGCTAGGGTCTATTGGAGGCGAAGTGAAAGCAGGCTCGTGAGGTGAGAGCTGTAAGCAGGTTTACTCACTCGCTGAGGATGCAGAACAGAGAAGAGTGTGTGATAGATACCCAGGGCCCCATCCAACCCTGGAAGTTCTGCTCCCCCTGCCTTGGCTGCCTCTGCTTGGCCTTGTGTTGACCCACATCCTCTCCCGAAGTGTCACCGTAGTCCTAGGAGGCTGCTGTGATTGGATCCAGGTGACCGATGGAGAGACAGGCTCAGTAGCCAGGCTGGGCCACAGGACCAAAGAACTGTGGGGCTGGGCTTCAACCCGGGGCTCTGCTACACTTCCTTTTGTTTTGTTCATTCTGCTTTTTTGTTTCGAATTTTTGAGACAGAGTCTCTCTGTGTAGCCCTGGCTGTCCTGGAACTCACTCTGTAGACCAGGCTAGCCTCAAACTCACAGAAATCCTCCTGCCTCTGCCTCCTGAGTGCTGAGATTAAAGGCGTGTGCTACCACTGGCTTTTCCTTTTTTCTTTCTTTTTGGTTTTACAGTGCCTTTAATATCAGGTGGCTAATCACCAGATTGTGATGAGTACGCATCTACAGTATAGCCCCAGAGCAGGGCCAGTATGGACTAGGAAGACCCATTCCTTTTATTTGGGGGAGGGGGGGGCGGCATTAGCTCAATCCTGCACAGGAGGGATTGGCGGGAATCAAGACTAAGGGACCGAGGGGCGTGGCCTGGCAGTTCGGGTCCAGCCTCGTCCTCCTGGAGAAGGGTCCGGACGCCAGCAGAGGGCTGCCTGGGTGGGACCCCCAGTGCAGGCTGTGGAGGGACTGCAGGACAGCCACCAGCCAGCAGGTCTCCCTGACCACACTTCCAACGGCCACTTAAAGCCGCACAAAGGGGCTCTGAGCACAGCTCCCTCACCACACTGAGCCCATTCATTCTCCCAGCGGCTACCCTGGCGCCTGGGCCAACGGCACGGCACGCCTGGCCCTGACAAGGCGTCTGTGCCATGGCAACAGACACTCTAAAATCCAGCTTCCCAGGTCTCCCACCATGTGCCTACCTACTCACCGGGGTTGGCTGGCCCGGTCCGGCCCACCCGTGCCCCTTGCCTATGTGACCACTCTTTGGCCACAGAGCCAGGGGCTTGCTGAGGGCCACGGTGTGCTGGCTAGAGACGTCTTCCATGAAGTAGGGGTTGCTGTGATTCCCATTTCATCGGAAAGGAAACCGAGGCCCAGAAAAGCACAATACACAGAAGTTGGAGAGCTGGTCTGGCCAGAAAGCCAGCACTGGTCTGGTCAGCTGACCTCACAGCCTGGGTCATTAGTCCAAATCATATCTTAACTGTCTCTCAGGCAAGCAGCCAGGGGGCTGCACTTTGCCTTCCACTGGGAGGACTCCGCTCTTTCCAAGCTTTAGGCCCCCTTCCTATCTCCTGAAGGTAACCTGGAGAGGGAAGGGGTGCCACCCCAGGAGTCTGCTCTAGAATTGTGAGTCCCAATAAGCTCCCCCACCCCCACCCCAGACAGGGTTTCTCTGTACAGTTTTGCACCTTTCCTGGAACTCACAGAGATCCGCCGGACTCTGGGATTAAAGGCGTGCGCCACCAACGCCTGGCTCCAATAAGCTTTTATAAGTGCCTCGGTTGTGGTGTTTGTCATAGCAACAGAAAAGTAACTGTGCCGGGCGGTGGTGCCGCACGCCTTTAATCCCAGCACTCGGGAGGCAGAGCCAGGCGGATCTCTGTGAGTTCAAGGCCAACCTGGTCTACAGAGTGAGTTCCAGGACAGCCAGGACTGTTTCACAGAGAAACCCTGTCTCAAAAACCAAAAAGCAAACAAACAGAAAAGTAGCTGAGGTAATGGTCTAGAAATTTCCTCCTTGGCCATTGAGCCCTGGTCCTTGCAGGCCTCCGTCCATAAGCAGGACCCTGTAGCTGTAACCTTGTAGGGCTGGGTCTTTTTCTCTCAGGACGGTGGAGTCCTCTTCACCCTATCAAGAGAGCCAGTGTGACCTCTGACCTCTCTTCCTCCCACTGACAGGAGCTTGAGGAGCTGCAGGCCGGGAAGGCTGGTGGCTTCCAGCCTCTGGGGACAAGACTTTGATGGAGGATCCAGGGTGAGACCCATCTGTCCTGGACTGAATCTCACACAGGCCTCACCACCAGCTTTAGGGCCAGGCAGGCTGGTTGCTCACATGTAACAGGCAGAAACAGAGCTCCAGGTCAGCCTGGGCTGTGTCAGATTTCTATCTCAAAACAACAACAATGTCCACTCTGGGCTGCTGGGGATGTGGCTCCCTGATGGAGAGCTTGTCTAGCATGGGAAAGACCCAGAGTTCCATCCCAAGCACAGAAGACGTTAAAAGAGAGTGATGGAAGCGGGGTGGGGGCGTGGGGAGGGGGCAGGGGCTGCATATCAGACACCGTCCCTGCTGTCGCAGGTAGAGAGGCGATGTTACACAGAACTGAGTCAGACCTTGTGACTCTTCAGTCCCAGCACGTGCCATTGCCCTCTAGAGCTGTACATGGTGATTCATTTCCTCAATATCTGTTCTGTGTGGGCACAGAACACACACACAAGTACACTCATGTACATGCTCCATACACACATACATACTCATACATTCATATACACACATACACACACTCATACACTCATATACACACTATACACACTCATATACACACAATTATGCACACACTGGTGTTTGCAGGGCACCAGCCTGTGTACTATTGGAAGGACAAGGACAAGGCACCCAGTCTGTGCCACCAACTCTCTCTGTGACCTGTGGAAAACCCTTTGGCTTTCTGTGCCTCAGTTTCCCTATTTCTGCTCAAAGGGTGTGGAAGACCTGTCCTCACATGTCTCTGCTAGCTTGGACAGGGACAGTCATGCCTGAGCAGGTACTGACTTCATGCTTGGCTCTGTCTGGTGTCCTGGTCACCGTGACGCTGGCACACCCTGTTCACCAAGGGAAAACTGACACTCAAGCAGGTGCATCATCTCACCCGTGATTGACAGTGACAAAGTAGCCAATCAGAAGTTGAGTTTGGGCCTGAGTGACGGGAGCCCACGGGCCTACCCCCAGCAATCTCTTCTTCTTCACTGCCAGTCCATCTCCCGGGTACCGGGCCTGGGAACACACTGCCCGACCCTGGGCCTGTCTTCCCATCCTGTGGGCCAGGCCCCCAACAGCTGCTGGCAGCTCCCCTGTGGCCCCCAGCCTAGTGGGCTCTGTTCCCAGAGCCTGCGGTTTGCTCCTCAGGCCTTCCAGGTCCCATGGGTTTGTGGTGTGCCCCCTGCTCCTGCCGCTGGCTGAGGAGGCCCTCAGGGGCTGGCCTGGGGAGGCCCCAGCCCCCGCCTCCTGTGGAGAGGGTGGGAGGGTGGGGCTGTGGGAGTTTCGCTAGTTTAAAAATACACAGAGGAAGCAGTTGAGAGGGCAAGAGAAAGGGGAAGGGGTGTGGGGGGGAGGCCCTTCAACCTTGATGTCGTGAGCCTGGAGCAGCCACATGCGGGCAAGCCAGGGGCTTTGCACAACTGGCCAACATGACAGAGATGCCCAAGAAAACCGGCAAAAAGTTCAGTGAGTACAGACTGTCCACCCTCCTCCGTTCCTTCAGCTTGGCATCTCTGCATCTCCTCGCCACTGTCTCCTCGTTTCTCTTTCTGTCCATCTGTCCCTCCCCAGAGTGTTACTGTCCACTCACGGTGGAGCCCAGGCTGTCTCTCCATCTCTGTCTGCCTTTCCGTTTCTCTCTCCCTCCGTCTCTCTCTCCCCGACACCTCAGCTTCTCTCTTGCTACACCCAGCCCCTCAGCGCTTACATCTACTGTGTCATCCTGGCCTCTCTCTGACCTTGAGGCTGTGTGCCGAGAGACCCCCACAGACCCTATCTTGTCTGGAACTCAGCTCGACACCAGATCTCTAGGGAGGTGGTGGATCTGGGGACTACAGATGCTGTCTGTCCCCACCAGTAGTGAGGCTGGGAGCTACTAGAACCAAGTTCCTGAGTGAACTACACCCATTCACTGCTATTTCTTTCTCCAGGTCTTTCCATTTAGGGGACCCAAACTTCTCCGGTCCCTGACACCTCTGACCTTCCAAGTCTATCTATCCACCCTTGTGTGGGTGTGAGTGAGTGAGTGTGTGTGTGTGTGTGAGTATGAGTGTGTGTGAGTGTGTGTGTGTATGTGCTGGGACTGTATCTCAGATGAAGATGAAGATATCTGTAAACCCAGCACTCAGAAGGCAGAGGCAGGAGGCTCATGAGCAGACCAGCCTAGGTTACAGAGTGAGACACTGTCTCATATAAATACACAAAATAAACAAAACCTGTAGTACTGAGAAGGGAGGTAATCAGTGGCCCCTTGGGTTTTTTGTAAATACTAGTGAAATCTCTGTCCCAGGCCAACCCTTCTAGAAGCAGGCAGTAGCCAGGACTGTCCGGACTGGGACCGGGGGGAACGGGCAGGAGACATTTCTGAGGTCCTGAGCCAAGGGCTCAGCCCGTCCTCACTGTGTGACTGTAGGCAGAGCCCTTCCCGTCTCTGGGCCTGATTCTGTCCTTGTCAGGTGTGGGCATGCTGCTTCTGTTCCATCAGGGGCGGAGGATGCAGAGGAGGCCAGGGAAGTGGAAAGGTCAGAGTTTCCCCCTTTCGCTCACCTCATCTGGAGGCCCTACGGAAGTCAGGAAGTCAGAAGGTGCTGTGAGGAGGACAGGCCCACAGCCGGGGGGGGGGGGGGGGGGTGCAGGAAGGAGTGACTGTAGAGAGTGCACTCCCGTCCCTGCTGGAAGATGCTGTCACAGGAGCCCTGCCGATGGAGTTTGGACCGTGGGCTCAGCCCACAGCAGGGAGAAAAACACCCATAGACAAGGGCCAGCAATCCTCAGGCTGGCCGCCATGTCCATCTCCTTTCAACCCAGGTGCCGGCAGCTACCTTGACACCACTCTTACCTCTCTCTCTCTCTCTCTCTCTCTCTCTCTCTCTCTGTCTCTGTCTCTCTCTCTCTCCCAGGCTCTGGGGCCTCAGACCATTCATTTCACTCCTCTGAATGTCAATTTCCTTAACTGGAAAGTGGGATGTTATGCATATGCTAAGAATTTAAACACTGTGTTTGACAAGTGAGAGGCATTTTTGGTCATCATTGTCTTAATTCTTGATATCTTTTCAAGAATATTCTGTATACCAGACAGCACATGAAGCATGTTATTTACAAGGTTTGCATGTGTGCTTGTTCATGTGTGTGCATGAATATGTTCAGGTACAACAGCAGGTGTCTTCTTTGATCTCTCCTTGTCTTATTTTTAAAGCAGATTTCTTTATAAAATTGTATTTAAAAATTATATCATTGGACAGTGGTGTCGCATGCCTTTAATCCTAGCACCCAGGAGGCAGAGCAGGCAGATCTCTGTGAGTCCAGGCCAGCCTGGTCTACAGAGTGAGATCCAGGACAGCCAGGGCTACACAGAGAAACCCTGTCTGGAAAAACAAGAACAAAACAGGGAGGGGGGGGGGTGAGGAGCTGTCCCTTCACTGAGTGGCCTGTGCTGATGTTATTGTTGCTGCTTCTGCTGCCATTGCCATTCATTCTTTCTCCTCTCCCCTCTCTCGCCAGGGTTCTTCAAGTTCAAGGGCCTTGGGAGCCTTTCCAATCTCCCTCGGTCCTTTTCTCTGAGACGGCCTTCAGCCCCCCTTAGCATCCGCACTCATCTGGAGCCTGACACCTTTGAAACCACACAGGATGACCTGGTGACAGTCCCGAAGAGTCCTCCTGCCTATGCTCGTTCCAGTGACATGTACAGCCACATGGGTACCATGCCTCGCCCTAACATCAAGAAGGCTCGGAAGCAACAGGCTGCCCAGAAGGCCCAAGAGGTCAGCCTTGAGTCCCACCCAGTGCCTCGAGCACTGCCAGACCCACCAGGCTTAGAGGCAGCCAAGGAGGCGGCGGAGGGGATTGATGTCCCACTGGAGGACACCCCAGGAGTGGGACCCACATCTTCAGAGGTAGAGGTGGACCCTACGAGGAAGCCTGAGGACCCCACAGTAGGCACAAAGGAGGAGCAAATTCCTGGGGATGTGTACCCGGAAAGGTAGGTGCCAAGAGAGGCAGGGAGGGCAGGACATGCCCTGAAGGGTTTCTAGCCGTCTCTAACTGGTACAGCTCCAGCGCGAACACCTGGGCTGAAAATAAACCTCTAGGGTGTAGGGAGTGGTGCATCCTGCACTCCCAGCAATGAGGTAGCTGAGGCTGGAGAATTGCTGTGAGTTAGAGGTCAGCCTGGACTACAGAATGAGACCCTGTCTCAAAACAAAAAGAACAAAACACAAAACAGAATAAGCAAATAAAGTGAGTGTGTTAGGTATACAGAGCACTTGGTAGGGTGCTTGCCTAGCACACAGGAAGCCGAGTTTGATCCCTGCCTTAGTGTGGGTTTCTTTTTGTTTGTTTGTTTTTCCAGACAGTTTCTCTGTGCAGTTTTGGAGCCTTTCCTGGAACTTGCTCTGTAGCCCAGGCTGGCCATGAACTCACAGAGATCTACCTGCCTCTGCCTCCTGAGTGCTGGGATTAAAGGCGTGCGCCGCCGCCGCCGCCGCCGCCGCCGCCGCCGC